GCCAGCTGGCTGGCTGGGGAATTCTGGGAGTTGAAGTCCACCCATCTTACAGTTGCTGAGGTTGAGAAACACTGGTCTAAATACTTACACCCATATACTTCCCCTTTTTTCTTTCATGTTTTTCATTCCATTACCCTCATATGTACATGTAGAAGTTGTTGATCATTCATATATGCAGAGTTTTCAGATTCAGTTAGGTAACTTTTTGGGGAGAACAGCTGTTCTAACAACTAAGCAGAAAGGCCAAGATAGGAGTTCCACCATAAATGTACCTTACTTTGTCTAATAGCAATAAAGATTTAGGCACTAGGTTTAGACTGAGTTTATGCAATATAACACTATGCTGGGTTGCATCTAATATGCCCAACTAGAAAAAAGTATCATGAATGGATTGCCATTTCAGTGTCCTTAATTTCCAGAATGAATTAGTTTCATGCTAATAGTTTCTCTTAACACCGTCTCACAAATACAATATCTTATACTCATATACTGTAACAATGCTTACACTAAGTCCATTTGTACTACAGTAGGCTATAAATATTGTTAAGTAAGTAGATAGGTAGATATGTTGTATTGGAAACTCACCATATCTGCAAGGGAGATGTATAGAAACATGCCTCCAGCTATTGCAAAGATGATGTTTGGAGCAAAGTTGTTGCCTACTATTATACCAAAAACTAGGCCAATATAACAGGAGCATGCTGATAAAAAATTGAAAAACAAGGCTTGCCTTGTGCTCATTCTGCATTAAGAAGGATGACAAAATCTCCTAAAAAAGAAATAGCATGACATTATCAGTAAGTAATACTGGTCTGATTTATATTTTCTCCAGGATAAATCACAATATAGACAGCCAGTATGGTGTAGCCCTTTAAAGGCACTGAACTAGAAGCAGGAAAATCCAGGTTCTAGTCTTCTCTTAGGCACTCCATGACTTCAAAGGTCAGCCCTTGAATGGAAGTTGAAAAACATCTCTCTACCAATCCACCCAGGACCACCATGACAAATTACAATCTATAACCTTCAGTGAAGAAGCTTTCATCTTGCAGTAGGTTGATTCAGGCTGATAATAATTCAGAATGGACTGGTGAAATGTATATGAAATGTATTAGAAAGCTATCATTTCCCGATATGAATGCTATAAAATATTTACGGATTAGGTCTTGCTTGATGAGAAATTTGCCAGGTCAGCTTCCCCCAGTCTGATGCCCTTTAGAGTGGGACTGCAGCTCCAGATTTCTGAATCGCTATGGTTAAGAGTTGAAAGCCATGATTTCTGGAAAATTATAGTAGCTACATTGGTTCTTGAAGCCCACCTCAGCTACATGCTTGCACATTTGACATGATGGAAAACATATTACCTAATTCATGAGGAAACTCTTCACATAAGATTGCTATAGATGTGCTAATTCCCTGAAGCAGGGAAAGTGTGAATGAAGCTCCAATGGCTAGTCCATCAATGAAGTTGTGCAAAGCATCACTTAATGTGATCATCCAGGCAATTGTACCAATCTCTGATAAGGCAGGTCCTTTGAAACATTTGCATGAACTACTTTGCATTTCTTCTTTCTGCAACAATAAAATATGAAAGTTACATCAAATATTAAGTAGCTGCAAGAAAGCCAAGAATCATGTAGTTTTAAAACTGCAAGTTTACTGAGAAATAAATCATAGAATTCAGAATAATCACTCTCCTTATACAGCAAATACTTCCATAACCAACAGGAGCATAAGGTCAAAATCACTTCTGATCCAGATCATGATTCTTCTGTTTTCTCTGCACTAAGATATCCAAATGGACTTGGATTGTCTAAAGGACTGCAAACAGGATGGACTCTAATGCCACCAGATTTCCAGTGCTGTTGGGAAACCATAATGTGTTGGATTCATTTAGGCTACCAGGTTTCTCATGGACTGTGTGACATCTTTTTTGCAAATTTTTAAAATAAGTATCAGATAATCCATCAAATAATACATTTTGCTGAAAAAAGCAACTGAGCCACAGGATGCTCAGTCAATGAAAATTGGCTAGGGATTAACATGGTTTTCTTCTTTAACTACAATGTTTAGTTCCTTCTTGCAAAAAATCCAAACAAATCTATTTCTCATGGGAAGGATTCTTTATAATTAATTGCAAAATCTCATTCCCAATTTATCTGGACTCTTAATCCATTTATAACTTTCTAGGATCAAAGTCTTACAGTGGTACCTCGGCTCACGAGCTTAATTCATTCTGCGACTCTGGTCGCGACCCGAATTGGTCGTGACCCGAAGCAAATTTTCCCATAAGGTTCAATGTAATTACCGTTAATTCGTTGTGGCGTGGAGGACAGGGAGGCGGTTATTGCTTGGAGGGAGAGTCCCCCTCCCTACGACCATGTGTCAGGGGCGGAAAATGGCCGCAGACCATGTGTCAGGGGCGGAAAAT